TAAAGAGGGCGCCAGTGGCTTTCCACTGCAGTTCTTATCTTTAAAATCCTGCAAGAGGTTAAAGAGTAATCGGCCCAAGAAGTGGGGCGAACATTCTTTGAAGGCTTCATCAAAAAACCGACATTTTTAGCTCCTAGTCCAGATTTTCGAAACCTTTACTGAATCGATGGTTTAACGGCAGATTAAAGACACTGAAATTGTCTTTCAACTCCTGCTGTTTGGGTGCCGCGCAGCGGCGGAGTCGATGAGTTACGAGTTGGAGGAGTTGGGAAGGTTTTCATTTGGCAGTTTCCTGCAGGTGCTCCCTATTTTTAATGCTGGCGCGTTTGTTGATCATCCAGGCCAAAATCTCTAAAGACATCAATTAAAGAGGGCGCCAGTGGCTTTCCACTGCTGGTCTTATCTTTAAAATCCCGCGGGGGATTAAAGAGTTATCAGCCAATAAATCCGTGAGAACATAGATTGGCAGTTTTGTCGCAATACCGATTTTCGTTTGGGCGCCGTTGCCACACTTCCGCCCTAATGAAGCACTAGTTTAGAGCGAACTTAAAGAGCCTCAAAGTGTCTTTAAAATGAGGGTATTATCGCTGCTATCCTGCCAGAGGTTGCACAGTACTGGAGAAATCCAACTCCGAAAACATCGCTTTGGCGGTTTTCCCTCAAAAGTCCTTTTCCTTGGCTCCTAGTTAAGATTTTCGAAGTTTTTGGAAAAAATGGTTAAAACATAAATGAACGACAGTAAAACTGGCTCTTCAATGCCATGCCGGCGTTGCCAAACTGCCCAAAGGGGACGCAGTTACAACCGGTGCAAATCGAGAGAATGTCACTAGGCAGTTTGTCGTTAGAACTCATTTTCTGTGGCTCCTAGCGGAAAAACTTGAACTTTCCCAAAGAAATGCTTGACACATAATTGAAAGCCCATGATATTAGCTCTAATCCCAGATGCCTACGTTGCCAATTGGGCAAAAGGTGGCGAAAGCACAGCCTATGGAAGCAAAAAAAGTTTCAATTGCCAGTTTCTACTCAGCACTGAGCTTGGCGATTCAAAGTTTCCTTTTTGGGGCAGCAGCGAAAAACTTTTAACAGCACAGTGTTAAGCCCATAAGGGGCCCCTGAAACCGCAGGTTTCAGTTTCCGCCTAAGTTCACCAGGAGCTCCATATTCAGCTGGCGAGTTTTCGCATAAGGCAAACTGGCCTTTTTCCCTCAACACCCAAATTCACTGGGCCCCAGTTGGGGCATTTTAGCTCTAGCAAAAATTTCGCTCAGAGATGAATCAAAGAGCCTCAAACCGGCTCTCAAACGCGTGCTTCCGCATGCCCATCGGTTGAGCGCCCAAGAAGTTATCGGGCCAAGAGCAGGAAGAGGCACCACGTATCAACTTCTGCTTTGCAGTGATGTTCTTTGGCTCCTGGGGCCGAGGTGCGTAATCGCACAAAAAAACCCTCACGAGGTGAATTGAAGACAAATGAATTGCCGTCACAATGAGGTACCTGGATCGAAGATCCCTTCTCCGGAAGCTGAGAACGGGGCGAAACCCTCGATCGCAGCTGAGAGCCAAACAACCTCCCTTGATCTCA